GCGAAGGGCGCCGCGGGGCCGCTGGTGGGAGGGACGGGGACGGCCGAGCTCCCCGCAAGTGGGGGCTCCCCGGGGGGGGGTCCCAGAGGGGCAGCGGGACCCGGCCCCTCACTCCTGCCTCTCCACAGCTACCCCGCCGGCTTCGTCTACATCTTCCTGGGACTGTACTATGCCACGGGCCGTGGCACCGATATCCGCCTGGCGCAGTACCTCTTTGCCAGCCTCTACCTCCTCAACCTCCTCCTCGTCTTCCGCATCTACTGCCGAACCAACAAGGTAGCCTGGGGCCAGGGGGCCTTGCCGGCCACCTCAGGGCCTCTCCTGTTCTGCTCAGTCCTCACCCGGGCGAAATGGGCTGGGCAGGAGGTCAGGGTGGGGATCGGAGGTTTGGAGGGGCTCGGTGGCAGTGGGGGGTCCAGGACAGGCTGCTGATTGCACTTGTGTCTCTCTGTCCCCTGCAAGGTCCCCCCATATGTTTTCTTCTTCATGTGCTGTGCCTCCTACCGCATCCACTCCATCTTTGTCCTGCGGCTCTTTAACGACCCTGTTGCCATGGCCATCCTCTTCCTCGCCATCAACCTCTTCCTGGAGGACCGCTGGTCCTGGGGCTGCCTCCTCTTCAGGTGAGGGTCTGGGGGCAGGGTGGGGGCTGCTCTCTGTGGCGTCGTGCGTGCGTGAACAAGCTCAGCCCCGGGGACCAGGCTGCCTGGGCACCCATGCGGGAAGCCACAGCAGTAACGCAGCTTTCTGCTCAGCCTGGCCGTGTCCGTGAAGATGAACATCCTGCTCTTCGCACCTGGACTTCTTTTCCTCCTTCTCCAACGGTTTGGTCTCCTGGGCTGTATTCCCAAGCTCTGCATCTGTGCCCTGCTCCAGGTGGGTCCCTGTCCCTGCTCACATCAGCTACAGGGGTGGGCTGGCAGCCCCATCAGCAGGAGGAAGAGGGCTGCCCTGCCTGCATTGCAGCATCCTGCCTGGCTGTCCTGGGAGCTGGGGACCTCTGCGTGAATAAGCAGTGGCACCAGCATCTAACTTGGCCCCACAGAGCAAGCTGGAGATTGATAAATAGTCTAATTCATGGGGCTCCCATCTTTGGCTGACTGTCCCTGTCACCCCATGTGGTGCTGGAGTTCTTGGGAGGTGGCAAGGGTGATGGAGACCTGGCTTACGTCTGCTGCAAGGGTGCTGGTCTGTCTCTGGCAGGTGATTCTGGGGCTGCCCTTCCTGCTGGTGAACCCCGTGGGGTACCTGACCCGCTCCTTCGACCTGGGCCGCCAGTTCCAGTTCAAATGGACAGTGAACTGGCGCTTCCTCCCAGAAGAGATTTTCCAGAATCGGGCTTTCCATGCCACACTGCTCCTGGCTCATCTGGCTGGCCTGGGGCTCTTTGCACTGCACCGGTGGCACAGGTGAGACACGGGGTTCCCCATGGGTCCTGGTCCCCATCAGCTGATCCCCATGGTGCAGGATACTGGTCCATGACTCCCGTGCCCCCACAGTGCTGCAATTCTGGGGCTGCAGGCAGGAGTGGGGGGGGAGTTACTGTTCCGTTTCGGGGAGCACACTGCCCAGGCGTCGTGGTTTACAGGGGAAGGTCAGGGTCAGAAGGACTTTCCGCAGCTGAAATTGATGTTTGTGCTTCCCCCTCAGGTCCAAAGAGAGCATCCTGGCTCTGCTGAAGGATCCTGCCGAAAGGAAACACCCGCCCCCTCCCTTGACAGTCAACAATATCCTTTGGTAGGGTGGGCAGCAAGGAGGAGGGGAGAAGGCAGGGCAGGGGAGACCTTGGGATCAGCATTCGTAGGCTCCTGGTCCTGCCGTGATGTCAGGACCAGCCTGTCCTGGGGGAAGGAGTTGTGCTGTATGGCTGGATCGCACTGTGCTGTGTTTGTCCCCTTAACGCCAGCGCACAGATCGTCTTCGTCCTCTTCTCCTCCAACTTCCTGGGTGTCTGCTGCAGCCGCTCCCTGCACTACCAGTTCTACGTCTGGTATTTCCACACGCTGCCTTACTTACTCTGGTGCACCCCTACCGCCAAGCTCACCCACATGCCCAAGTATGTGCTGCTGGGGAGGGGGAACCACCCGTCTGTTGGGGGGTCTGGGACCGAGGGGGGCTGCTGTGTTTTCCCCCCATGCTGACCCCCAGCTTTTCCCCGTGCAGGGTGCTGCTGCTGGGTGTCATCGAGCTCTGCTGGAACACCTACCCCTCCACGGTCTGCAGCTCCCTCTCCCTCCACATCTGCCACGGACTCGTCCTGCTCCAGCTCTGGTACGGCACGGCCCCTCCACCGGCACTGCACACCCCTCAGACGGGCAGGAGGCCTGCAGCCATCTCCAAGAAGGCCCAGTGAGAGCGGGGCTGGCCGGACGATGGAAACTGGCCTCTGGAACTTCCCCTTTCCTCGCCTGGCTCCTGGGCTGCCCCCAGCCATCCTGGGAGGGCTGTGAGCCCTGGAACTGTGCAAAGGGGGCAGCGTGGGGAGCCCCCGATGGGCAGGACTTCCCCAATAAAGGGGGCTTTGTGTGCCCTTCCCTGGCCACAGCGTCCTCATGCTGTGACAGTGTCAGGACGGTTGTGCCTCAGCCTGCCCAACCTGTGAGGAGGCAGAGCAGCCCTCGGGGCCATGTGAGCTCCTTCCCAGCCCTGGGAGAGTGCTGCCCGTGGCAGGGGAGCAGCTTCTGGGGTGAGGTTAAGACAGAGGATCTACAAAATCACTTTGCCTGAAGGTTTGAATTGCCTTGATGAACCCCAGGGATCCCTCCAGCATGGCTTTTCCTAGTCCCTTGTCTGCTCCCTCCAACAGGAGATGGCTGTCAAGGGGGTGATCCCTCCACGGTTCTTTCTGGTGAGCCCCAGTGTGTCCTTAATGGGGCGGCTCCTTGCTCATGACAGAGACACCAGTGCAGGCAGCATGGAGCCAGGCGGCTTTATTGGCCCCTCCAGCAGCCGTCAGACATTGTTGGGGTTGTAGCACAGCATGTTCAGCTTGATGTTTTCGTCCCAGTGACGAAGCAGTAGGAACAAGTGCCTGGCCGCCCCTTTGAGGCAGCCCACGTCCACCCCCTCGGGCAGCCGCTGCGCCTGCAGCCACGCGTCCGCCTTGGCCGCCACCAGCTCCCACTCCTCGCAGAAGCCAC